AATTCAGCATAAAAGTTCACAAGTTAATAAACATAAAGAAGTCATCTGAGGATCGTCAGTCATGGAATTCAAAATGTGAAAACTAATCTCGAACGTTTGGTAATGAAAAATTCTTTTTAAATTTTTAGTAACAGTCTGAATTAGTAAACATCTTCTCACAATAAGAGACTCTAAGTCTTCTATTGTGTCACATATATTGCCATCATTTTTACTCAAAAGAATTTTTCAAAAGAGACTTTTTGAGTTTTACAGGAGGGGTCTCAGGTCGCCAGCCATGATTCGGAGAGAGAGAGGTCAATGAATCATTAGAGCAATCAAAAATTTTTGTTAAAATTGAACGTTTTGTTGAATATTTTTGGTCTCTCACTCGGGACACTCCTGAAGTGTTAGAATTTAAGAGATAATGTTTACATCAATCTTTTAAGAGTTTTCAGCTCAACACCATGAAGCCTAAGTATGTCGAGAAACTCACATATATTTTAGAACAACACAGTATGTGTAAGTGTCACAGTTCTTCCATCTTCATTACACACTTCAGTAATGGAAATCAAAGGCGTTGAACGACATAAATAACAAGACTTAGACGATTCCAGAACCTTTCTTCAAATTTGAATGGCTGGAATACGTTTTTCAATATTCTAAATAACGCAGTTTCTGATTTCCCACAGCTCCCATATGACTAACACAAAAGCATGAACAGATTAAGTTCTAACTTTCGAGAATAATTAATATCAATCTTTCTGAACTCATCAAGATACATAATAAAACTTAATAAATTATGAAATTCAAATAAATATCATCCAAATAACAAAAATACAAATAAAAAGAGGCCATCAGTCAAGAAAAAAGACAAAACTTTCGTTTGCAATGTAGAAATAAAAATATCGTCTTTTTAGAGATTTTACATTTTGCATATTTTGCATTAGTATAATGAAGCTAAAGAAGACATGTGAATTCCATATTTCAGCCCCAAAGGAGCTGTGCTAACAAGTTTTTTCCATGTAAATATACTAATTAAGTAAACAACATGAGTTTTCTATTGTACAGAGAAGTTTACTTGATGAATTTATAATTATACAAAACAGTTTAGCTCATTCACAGAACTGATATGAATTCAATAGAGGTCACTAGTTGCCCAATAAATTCTTAATCTTCGATTAAAAAACTAAATTTCATTAGACTATTTTAACATATAAAATTTAACTATTAAAGGTTCTTTTTTTTAAATAATCTATTTATTTTCAAACTTAAGAAATGAAGGCATTTCATATTATCTAATGAAATTGTGAGATATCACGATGAGTCATTGAGAACCGAAAACCTTCACATTATCATCCATGACTTTCCAAAAATGGTTTATATCTGAATAAATACGAATTCTTATCATTTTCTTTTATTTGTCATGGTTACCTATGATAATAGAGTATTTCCTTAAACTCTACAGTTATAATTATGAACAGTAATCGTAAACCATTGTATGATTTTTTTTCATCATCAAGTCCTCATGATGAATATGAACTTATACAACGTATTGGTTCCGGAACATACGGCGATGTTTATAAAGTTTGTTTCTTTTTTTCCATGGAAAATACATTTTTTATATTAAAATTTTGTTTCTTTCTTATTTTTCATTTTAGGCAAGACATATTCCAACAGCATCAATGCGTGCATTAAAAGTTATAAAACTTGAACCAGGTGATGATATTAATATAATACAACAAGAAATTCTTATGATGATTCAATGTAGTCATCCAAATATTATCGCTTATTTTGGTAGCTATTTAAAGTAAGAAGAAAAAAAAAAAACAGGCAGTTAATCTAATTAGTTAATCAAATTTTCTTCATCTATTAGACGAGATAAATTATGGATTGCTATGGAATTATGTTCTGGTGGATCGATGCAAGATATTTATCATGGTTAGTTTAAATATTCTTAAGTTTTAAAATAAAATTCTTGATAATTTTTTATTAGTTTATGGAGTACTTAATGAATTGCAAATAGCTTATATACTCAAGGAAACATTAAAAGGATTAGATTATCTTCATAAAACTGGAAAAATGCATCGAGATATTAAAGTAAAATTTTCTATAAGTTCAAAAAGAAAATCAAAAGATTTATTTTCTTCAAATAGGGTGCTAATATCTTACTCACTGATGATGGAAATGTAAAACTAGGTAAATATTTTGCTATGTATTCGTTATTGAGATTCTATTTTTATTTGATTCAGCTGATTTTGGTATCGCAGCAAGTATAACTGCGACTATGTGTAAACGAAAATCATTTATTGGTACACCTTATTGGTATGAATAAGAAAACTATTATTTGTTTTTGCTTTATTCAGTTTGAAATTTAGGATGGCACCAGAAGTTGCTGCTGTTGAACGTAAAGGTGGTTATAATCAATTATGTGATATATGGGCTGTTGGTATCACAGCAATTGAATTTGCTGAATTACAACCACCAATGTTTGATTTACATCCTATGCGTGCCCTTTTTTTAATGTCTAAATCAGGTTTTAAACCACCAACATTAAAAGATAGAACAAAATGGTCATTAACATTTCAAAATTTTCTTAAATATGCTTTAATCAAAAATCCAAAGAAAAGACCATCAGCTGAAAGATTACTTGAAGTAAAAACAAATTTAAGAAGATTTCAAAGATAAAGAGTATTTTTTTTTCTGAATTAATTTTTTTAGCATCCATTTCTTCAAGGAAATTTAACAACACAAATTGCAAAAGATCTCTTGGATAGATTACATAATGGAGCCATGAATAATACCATATCTGAAGATAGAGATGATGATGAAGATGATAGAGTAATACAGTTTTTAAATGTCATGATCAACTTTTTTTCTTTTGATTATTTTAGAGTATTTTTCAAGCACCACATAAAATTACATCAACTAGAGATACGGCAACAGTATCATCATCAAGTAAGAGAGGACGTGGATGTGGGTGTGTGAAAAGACATGTACAGCTACATCCACATACAAAAATACATTTTGTAGCAATGCTATGATAAAATTCGTTTTTTTCTTGTCATAGAGAAGTGGCAGGAAATGTAGCAACCCTTCTTTTTATTCGTGGTTTTAAACTCTTTACTAGGGTGCTCTGAAAAATTAATAGTCAGATAGTTTTATTGAACCTGAAAATAACTCTTGTTTGGTTTTAAATTATACACTGGCAGCTTCCGATGTCCTTATTTCAGAATAGGAGCAATTAAATAAAAGCTTAAACTATTCTTGTTAAAGTCTGTCTCTATGCACAGTTTCAAGTCGAAATTTGAAGCTCAGATTTCCTAGTATTTATTTCTGTGGAGGCCACGGTTTTGTACGAAAAAATGCAATATGTTGTCAGCAATATAGAAATGTTCTCTCGTGAGATCAAAGTGTAATTAAAATGAACCCATGAATTTTATTTCAAATTGTTTATACAACAAGATTGATTGACTTTTAATACATGAATATCCGTAAGACCACTACCTATAAAATATCTATCTATACATCAATAAAATGTTCGATACCTTCTCTTATTGATTACTAAATGCTGAAAGACACCTATACTTGAGGAGTAAAAAATATTCTCAAACTGAATTATTTAGGTGTTCGACCTCTTGTAGCAAATTTAAATCAACCACCATTAATTCGTAGTTCAATTCTCAATGATTCAATTCAAACTAAAGCCAACGGAAATAATTCAAACAGTGATAGAGTATAATATACAACAAAAAAAAAACTTTTCAGAAATTTCTCTTTGCTTTTTTTCCTGTGTTTAGCATTCTCCATTACATGTTCCATTGTCAACAAAAACCAAGAATAATGAAAATGCCGAACATATTCAACGATTAAAATCATTAGGTTTAGCTGAAGAAGATATTCATGTAAAATAAGAATTAAAATACATCGAATTCAAATACAGATTTGTTTTTTATTTCTATTTTTTAGCATTTAATGAAAACATTACCATTAAGTGCATTTGAAAATTTAGCTTTAAATGAAATTCAACATATAGTCGATGTAATGCGTGAAGCTGATGTTGAAGAACATGAAGATTCCATTAAGGATAATACAATAAAACGAGAACCAAAATCAAATAAAAAAGAACAACAAGAAGCAATTTATGAAAATGATATTGATACAAATAATAATACATTAAAACGAAATAATGATTATGAAAATATTTCACCAATTTCTAATCATACACTTCAAATAAAACAAGATCGTTCGATATCATCAAATGGTATTCCAAGTGTACCGAGAGTTCATATGGGTGCTGGTTTTATGAAAATATTTAATCAATGTCCATTAGAAATTCATGCTAGTTATGGTTGGATGAATACTGAAACGAAAGGTGATTTGTTTTTTCAAGTCTTTTGTTTATGATTCATTTAAATACCCTACAGGTGTTGTATTTAGTTTCATATAAAAATGAATTATAGTTTTTAAATTATAAATTTAAAGAGTAAAGATTTCTCTACTATCAAAATAAGAAAAAATCGTTTGTTTCTGTTAAATATTTATATATTTAACAAACTCACGAGATAAACAAGACTACCGTACATCCTGAAAATAATGTTATAGAAAAAATAAATAAATAAGTTTCATCAATCATTGAATAATTCCGATAGTCTTAGAATTGTTCATTTGAAAAACGATTTATCGAAATTTCCATGTATGATACTATTCAATGTTCTTTTAACATGTCATCAGAAGAACCATTGAGATTGAAGTGACGAGAGAAAAAAGTAGCTTATTGTTATAAAGATATTGCACTTTTACGGTGATTTTTAAATGAATGGTATAGGGACCCTGAGAAAGACTAGTTTTCAAATTTGGGCTTGAAAATTCGCACACAGACACAGCTAAGAACTCGAACTTTTTTAGGACATTCAAAACTTATTTGGATCTACATGACACACATAACTTTGGACTGCGAGATTATTAATCAGTTAGGAAATTTCTCTCGTGACGATAAAAAGAAGTAACGAGGTCACCTAGTTCGTTCTTGTAACCTCGGCAATTACCTTGCAGCTTGTGGAAAACACTCTATTCAAATGTATTACAGAAAAAATACAAGAAACGATTAGCCTTAACAAGAACACAAGCAAATGGCACGGTCTAATACTATTCTCATTTGGAGAACGTAATTAAGCAGAAAATAACAAAATATAATATAAAACAAATTCTTATCGGCAGAAGGATGCATTTATCGGTAAAAGCAATAAAAAAACAGCTGTATTATTCTCTAACATGCGGGTAAATGCTGTACGTCTGTACCCATTGAATGTTTCTTATATGAAAGTCGTAACTTGATAGTTCACGAGAATAGACTAATAGATAAATGAAAAGAAAACTAAATTGAAATATTCATAGTTTGTGAAAGATGACTACAGATTTTGAATACATAATTCAGATCATATTTTCTTTTTTGTTTATGTTGATAGATCAATTTGTATTGATTGCAGCTGAAGAAGGCATTTATTCATTAAATCTCAATGAATTACATGATGCTACTTTAGAATTGGTAAATTCATCTAGTTTTTGTTTTTTTTTGTTTTATTATTATCAACTGTCTTTTGTTTTAGTTATATCCTCGACGAACAACTTGGTTATTTGTTAATGATAATATTCTTTGGTCAATATCAGGTATAATATAAAAATATAATCTTTCGAAAACAAAAACAAAAAAACAATATTATACACCTATATTAGGCAAATCAAATAGTTTATATCGGCATGATCTGTTTTTATTAATGCAAAATAAAAGTACAACTCGATTATCATTACCATTAAATAAATTTCCAATATCAGGAAAATTTGAAAAATTAATGCCGAAGTAAAAAATAAATAAGAAATGGATTGCTAAAATGTTATTTATTTTTTTTTTTTTTTTTAGAAAATCGGCAACATCTATTAAAATAAATAATACACGTGGATGTATTCGATGTTGTGTTGGTCGAAATCAATATAATGGATTTATTTATCTTGCTGGAATGTTAATCAATGAAATATTTCTTATGCAATATTATGATCCATTAAGAAAATTTATGAATTTAAAAGTAAGAATTTGATTTCAATCGATGATTTGAATAGTCTTTTTTTATTTCGTTTTTAAGACTGTTTCTATTTCAATACCTGTTGAACCAAAGATTTTTCAAATGATATTTTCACCAGAAAATCAATATGCTTATGTATGTGTTGGTGTTAGTAAAAAGTAAATAGATTTTATTAGATCTTTATATAGATTTGTTTTTAACTTTTGATATATTTAGTAAATTTTCACCGAATTCATTTAAATTTGCTGCAATTAATTTTGAAACTGAAAAAGTGGAAAATTATGATGATGGTATGCTAAATTTTTATTAATATTTCATAGAAATTTTTGATTACATTAGGGAGTATAAGAAAAGTAATGATTAGAATACATGTAATTTGAGGAAATTTATGATAGATAGGACATGTTTTGATGGAATTGAATCACCATGGGTGTATTAGTAGTTAGTTGATGCTTTAAGCATAAGAGTATTTTGTCAGGTTTTCAAATATGCAAAGAAGATCTTTGATGTCTATTTGATGAATTAACGAAAGAACTAATTATAAAGAAAAACATGAATTAGATTATTCAATAGATTTATTTGTCGGCATTCTGAATGAGGTGTTCAAGTAATACTTCAAGCATAGCTTTGCATATGAATGTTCTTTTAATATCAAATTGTTTTTTTTTTTAAATATTTTTAGCCTCTCTTCTTTCTAATGTTTCTCGTGTGATACAACATGAAAAGGATGTTGATACAGTACTTATTAGTCAAGGAAGTAAGATAAAATATTTGATAAATAAATTTAAAAATAATTATCTTATAAATTATATTCAGATCATATAAATATTGTGAATTCTCAAGGTAAACCGCAGACAAATAGACAAATATTATCTGATCTTTATTTTGATTATGAAATTCAATCATTAGGTAAAATCAAATTGATTATATTTATTTTTTTTCTTTTCTATTATTTTAATCATTTTTTTATCTTTTAAGTATGTTTACAAGATAGTGTACTTGCATTTCATAAACATGGTATGCAAGGTAGAAGTTTAAGAGATAATGAAGTTACACAAGAAATTTATGATCAAACTCGATCATTTCGAGTTATTGGTAGTGATCGGTAAATATCATAGAAAAAAAAAAAGAATTCAACGATTTATAATAGGATGCTCTTTTTCCTTCAAAGATTGGTCGTCTTACAAAGTCGTTCATTTGATCAATTACAATCATCTAGTGCATTAAATACGGTACCATCTGATTTACATATTTTAATGGGCCATGAAAATACATAATATTACATTTGAATCATACATATACAACTAGCCGGTATTATTAAAATAAATATTTCATCTTTTTTTTTTAAGTCAACTTCGTTTTTTATAAATATATATAACAGTGTTTTGTGAAAAAGAAAAATATTCTTTGCTTTAATTATATATTAATGCGTGTTTTCAATGTCAGATTTTTACTCCTTTAGTCTTCTTTTATATATTTAAGGACATCGTGCAATATGTAAGTTTAATCAGTGCCCATCATTTCTTTTATACTTGTGTGTGTGTGTGAAATGTAATAATTGCGTAAGAGTATCATTATATGACCTTGCGGTGTTCTTTCTCGTTTTCTTGATATAAATGAAATGTTATTTACAGAAAAGAAAAGATTGTTTTTCGTAAACGAAAAAAAAAACAAACAAACTTGTTATTGTTAGAATAGTTGGTTGAAAAATATCTAAATTGTAAGACAATATATCGCTTGGATAAAATTTTTATCAAATTATTTTTTATTAATTATCAATAGATAATATATAAAGTGATCATACTCAAATAATACCGTGAATTGTTCGCTTGGCAGACAGACATGTGACTTTCTTGCTGAGAAATGATTGAATATGATGCAGAAAAGCATTGTTAAGAAAAGAAACATTTGGAAAAGTTTGGAGGTTAGATGTCGATGAATTGATCATTTTACGGGACTAGCCATTCGAACGACTCGGTAGAAAAAATATTATTCTTTTTCTTAGAAGTTAAACATACAAATTAAAAAACACTTTTTACCATTTATATATAAAGCTCGACTTTGAAATTCAGAAACTGTACTGGAGTTGTCTATCTGATAGGTTTATTTTGTTAGATATAAGTTTTTCCGATGACATCACGATTTTCAGGCTAATTATTAGGCAACTGGTTTTTGATTTTCTTTGCACGTTGTAACAAAGTTATTTATACCATTGGATAGACTAGGTTTAAATCTTGAAAAAGCACGATTTTCATTTTTAGTCGATTATCCGGCTAGATGCACACTGTGCCTTTCAAAACAATCTAATTTCGACAGGGTACATGAAATATTGACGAATCGTTGTAAAGATGTTTGCTTCATGAAAGTACATTTAAAAAAAGTCACGCCTTCATACCTTACCGTTTAGGAAATTTCTAGAGATCAAGCTGGAAAACAGAACTTTACGGCGTACAAATTTTTTATCGATATGTTTCAAGTTGCAGAGCTCAGATTCCTTTGATTTAAAAGAAAACTTCTTACTTATTCGCATAATGGGAGGGTTCTTTTAATATTTATTCTCATTCCTTTTTTTTTGAACCATCAAAACTTCAAAAATCTACACTTTGTAGACATGGTTTTCTGGAAAACGCAAGATTTATCTAGCATTGACGATGAATTAGAAAACTCCTTTCCCTCGTCTGAAGGACTATGCAGATATCAATCGATTAAAAAAAACACATTCATATTTGACAATTATCTATAACAAACAAAACTTAATTATTTACTATAATCTAAATAAATCGATATTATCATTAGCATCAAGTTTTTGAACGAATAAATCAATATCTTCTTTTGACATTTCAACACTTTTAAGTAATTCTAAATCTTCATACACATAATATGGAAGTATTTTGAATTTTTTTACTATTCTCTTCTTGATCATTTCCATGATATTATGTTAGTTTCCGTTTATAAACAACTGATTTATCAGCAAATTTAATTATGTCATAAAATGATGAATCAATATGAGCTGTTATTTGTACATCGTCAATTGATAATGAGTTTTAACCAAATATTTTTCTAATTATATTTGGCGATAATTCTTAAAAAATTTACTGAAAATTCCTTTTTTTAAATATTCATTCCTAAAACTAATTGATGATTATTTCAATGTTTAATTATATTTTGATGAAATAATAAATAACGATTATTAATTGTTACTGTTATAAATTCTTTAATATCAGTGCAATGTTGGACTAATTCAATATTGATTATTTGACATTATGGCAGTTTACATTAAAAAATTATCTATATATATAAAGAAGAATGTTTGTCTGTTTGTTTGTCTGTTCGCTATGCATTTGAAGACCGTACGAGCAAATGCTATGAAACTTTCCAGAAATGGTCTTTACACCCAGGGGAAGGTCGACATGTATTTTTTTCCGAAAAAAAACGAATCCTACGCATGCTACAGGCGATCTATGAAACCGACCAATAGGGTTGCAACATTCGGTACTATAGAACTATAACTGAGTTCCACTTCATGAACACACAGGAAACATGGAACTAGAGGTTTTCGAGGGCGCTGAGTTCGAATCTNAAGTAGTCTCAATAGGTAATCTTTTCAGATCTCAGATTAGAGTACTTGAATTGACCAATCCATATAGTTTTTATGAGCAAACTCGGGGACCCAGTCAGAGACCCCTCCTTGTTAGACTAAATTTTGTACCTTTTTCTTAGAACACCGGCTTAACCAAAGTGATATCCACAGAAAAAACTGTTATTTTCTTGTTGTATTGTTTAAAGTTTTGCCGAATAAATACAGAAAATATTGAAAAAAAACAAGTCGACAAAAATAAAAATCATATTTAAAAAAAATAGGAAACGATTTTTCAATGAAAGCGAATTCATGATAGATTCCTAATACCAAACTCTCGTTAATAAATAATTTGTTCAATGATGAAAATCGTCGTCTTCCCTTTTAACACGTTCTAGTTAAAGTGCAAATCCAGGATGGTGAGTGTCTGTATTGAAACGTAATGGTGAATTTAAAAAATATACGAAGGAAATTTGTCTCACAATGTTAGTTAGTAATGCTTGAGCCAGATATTGTGCAGCTTTAACACCGATTTCGTTGTGCTCGAGATCTAATCTATTTAGTGTCTATGTTGAGAAATAACGATGAATTCATTGCTGATAAGAAGAAAACTGATCTCACTCTGTTATTTGGCAATACTTGAGCCAGACATCGCGCTGCTTTAGGACCAATTTTGTTGGCATAAAGATTAAGCGTCGTGAATGCCTATATTGGAACATAATGGTGACTTTATAGTCCGTGAGAAGATAACAGTTCTCACAGTATTATTATCCAACTCTTGAGCCAGATATTTTGCTCCTTCAGCATCGATGCCACTGCACCCAAGATCAAACGTGATTGGTGGCTGTATTGACAAATAATGATGAATTTATACTCGATGAGAAAAACACTAGTCTCACTGTATTATTCTGTAATGCTTCAGCCAAATATTGTGCCCCTTCAACATCAACGCAGTTGAAAGAAAGATTGAGCGTGGTGAGTGCCTGTACTCAAAACATAATGGTGAATTAATAGTCGATGAGAAGATCACTTGTCTCACCGTATTATCCTGCAATGCTTGAGCCAGATATTGTATCCCTTCAGCATCAATGCGGTTTTGCTGAAGATTAAGTGAAGTGAGTGTCTATATTGAAACATACTAGTGATCTTATAGTAGATGAGAAAAAAATCTGCTCTCTCTGTAGTATTCTGTAACATTTGGCTCAGATATTGTGTCCCCCCTAGCACCAATTTCGTTTGCTCAGAGATCCAGTGTAGTGAGTGTCTGAATTGAATCATAATGGTAAAGTTATAGTCGATTAAAGGAAAACTGATCTCACAGTGCTATTCTGTAATGCTTGTGCCAAATGTTGTGCTCCTTCAGCATCAATGTCGTTGGCCACAAGAATCAGTGCGATGAGCGCCTATATTGGAATATAATGGTGAATTTATACTCGAGGAGAAGAAAACTTGTCTTACTCAAGTATTCTGTAATGCTTCAGTCAGATATTATGCCCCTTGGTCACCGATGCTGTTGATCTCAAGATTAAGTGTAGTGAGTGTCTATATTGAAATATGATAACGAATTTGAAGTCGATGAGAAAAAAACTTTTCTGACCGTATTATTTTTCAACGCTTGAGTCAGATATTGTGCCCCTTCAGCATCGATTTTGTTACTGCTAAGAATGCGTGTAGTGACTGTCTATATTGGAATATAATGGTGAATTTATTATCAGCAAGAAAAGTTATCTCACTATGTTAGTCTGTAATGAGTGTGGTAAATGTTGTCATTTTTGATTGTCTATTACTGCCCGTCCCAAGTTCAGTTCATTAAATGTCTATAGAAATTTTCAGAAAGCATCGAAGGTTTTTAAATGAGGATTTTTGTTGAGCGGTGTTGTTCGTAAGATCATTTTCTTCTAATAATAGGAGTTTTCGATGCAGTTATGGACAGTTCTTAAGAGTAGTATTTTGTGTAAGGTAGTATGGAGCAATGTAGTCTGTGTTCAAAGCTTAAACGTATATATCCGAGGTCTCTTTAAGATATAGCTAAATAGTGATAGAGTTATGGTGTATCTCGGGAAAATAGAGATTTCTGAGAAACTATGGCAGATAAGGAAGCTTGTGAAAGCTATAATACATGCCCATCATTATGTTCTGTATACTCAGAAAGAAGATTCCAATGATTAGTACTATTATATCTCTTATCTTCTAATGACGACAGAACGGAGAAAAAGAATCCCCCTTCGCATGGAATCGAACCATGCACCTCCTGCTTTTCGGGCAGACGTATTAACCACTTTACTAGAAATGGTATCTCCTCTTCGTTTTACGATTGTATGGGAACAATACGATCGTAACAAGTACTGTTGTAAAAATTCTGCTATATCTGAAAAGGAACATAAAAAATTATTTTTTCACCGATGATCTCATTTGAATATCAATATTTGCCTAGGCGAATATTACAGAAATGTTCGACTAGTACTAGTTTCTCAGTAATTTCCATATGAAGAAGTGGATTCAAAAACTTGCGTTGAATATTATAGGTTTCCTTTACTATTTCTAAATGAGTCGTATCATGTCAATGTAAGATTATATTAACTAAGAATTTTTGGATAAAATTGGTTTCATTCAATATGAAGAGTAGAGAGTTGTTAAATTATAATTCACTAGACAGGAAAGTGACAGGCATATGTTGTCGGAAAATTTACGTAGAGTGATTATAAGAATAGTTAAAGTTCCTTCGACCGTATCTAAAATTGTGTTTATTTCTAATAACTAGAATGCTTGATTGGTTTCAAAATGTTATAAATTAGAAAATAATTGAAAATGATAATAATTAGTTATCACATGCTTGTTATATTTTAAAATGATGAATATGACTCTGTTATTTGTTTCTCTACAATGATCATCAAATAGAATCTTCAATCATATACGTCAATTTGGTTTATTTATGCTTTATAGGATTCTTATTCCAAAACAACTACAATTAGTGAATTAGTGTACTAATTACACAATGGTTAGATCATTATCTTTCGAATTTCGATGATTTTTTCTAAGATATTCTGGTTTCTAATCGGCATGGCACATAATGAACTTTCCCTTCTGACTGTGTCGTAGTGTTTGCAATGTATCACCATTCGAAGACTTCCTCATTTGTCACTAAGTACTTAGTCAAAGACTAAGTAGGAATAACTGTGTACCTTTTAAGATAATATAACCATCGATTCACTGCAGATCTTTTAAGATTGATGATACGTATATTATTAGAATTCTGCAAGTCAATGCAATTTCATTTAAGTGTGAATTCAGATTCGAAGTGATCAAACAGAATCGAATTTAGGTTTGAACAAGTCCAAATTATGTTGCACTCTGATACTAATCCATCAGTAACTTGTTGTGTATTTCAAAATCAATTGGTGTCTACATGGTCGAGAAGAATAAATTGTTGCATATAGTTTAGAGCTTAGCATGATTCAATAAGAGCTTTCATCATTTACAAAAAATTAAAGGTGTAGTTTACCTGGGATCGTTGATAAGTATCGGTAATAGTGTTGAGACATGTGCAAACATTTCGAACTGAGAGAAGAATGGTTAATTGATCTAGATTGTTCAAAATACGGTAGACCAATTCAAACGGTAATTTAAGCAGAGATCAAGTCATGTTGTCAGATATAGCTGTGTTTTATTTGTTTTAAGGTGTTTTTTGATGAAATGTACGAACGTTAAAATACTATGTCAGTTTTGAAGGACACTTTTGTGCCATGTCGTGTTGATGTACATAGCTACAAAATTGCAATGAACACGGACATGAGAAGAGGAATGAGTTTGAATTACTTTATCAAACATAGAAAAATGCAAGACGGACCGTATGGAGTGAACGAAAAAAACAGATGAAAACATTTTTTTGTGCAGTCGTTATAAAAAAATATCGCTATCAACAATATTAAAGTGCCTCAATATTTGAAGAGTAACGTTCGGATTCTTCCTCGTTCTTTTTATTTCGAAAAAAGCTTGTTAGCGCAGCCCCTACGAGGCTAAAATAGGGGACTCATATAGCTTCTTTAGCCTGATTATGCTGATACAAAAATGTAAAGTGAAAAAACTGTACCATATTATAGTTGTTTTTCAACATTGTCAATCAGCAGAAACATAACCTGTTTTATTTCTTCCGGATTCTTGAAAAGCGTTTTTTTGCTTTCTTTAGAGACGTTCTATTTTTGTTACTATTTGCTCATTATTTTTATTTTTCGTATTTTTTTTGCCTTCTTTTTTCTAATTTAACTATGTTGTCATTGCAATAATTGATTCAACCGGCAAATATGCCTCTTACACATATACATTTTACCTACAGCAAGTATCAATGAATTATTATGTATCTCGATCAAGTGAAAACACTGGCACCGAGTTTTTTTTCAAACTAATAACTTGATCAATAGATCACGTCTCAAAATCGTTAACGTCTTAAATATAAATTTCTCCCTGAGAAAAAATCCCAAACTGAGCTATTAGGAATACTATCATATGAATTTTATTGATTTAAATTTCGACGATGCTCTGGCTTATGCCAGACCAGTCAGAGTTTCTTCTTATCTTGTGCACGATTTTTTTATATTATTGCATTCAAAAGAAAAATTGTGTTTTTCGGTTGCTAAGTGTCTGCAATGGAGGAGGCCTAGGGGAGCCGCCACAACCTCGATTTAAAACTTACACTCACTGTTTTCCTAAAAAATGCAGAAGAGTTTCACAAAATAAGAACAAAAGGCAAAACGTTTTTTCACAGAAAAGAAGATCAAGAAAGGGAAAAAAAGCTAAACATGAGAAAAGAACTAACAAAAAAAATAATAATTGACCATATTAATATATGATGTTGTTCATTGAGAATATTCTCATATTGTGTAACATGAAGAAGTAATTTTGGATCAGTATTTTTTAACTTACACATCGCAAATTCCTCTAATGCTTTCATTGATAGATAACAATGAACATGAACTGAAAATCTGCTGCATTTTCGTGTGAATAAGAAGTATCGTCGATGAACGTTCGAAAGCACTTTTATTAAAAACAAAGTCTTACCAAAATAGGTTTCAAAACTGATGATATCGCTTTCAAATTTAGATGATTACGCCGATAATCGACATATAATGAACTTATGCATCATCAATAAAGTTTTAACTGATACTGTAATAGAGTTACTTACTATTTGAGTATTTCAATTTGAATGAGCTTCCCATTTTTTCAAGTAAAATATTTTATGATTTCATATATATTGATGAATATACAAAAAAAATAGCATTCCACAAGTGTTCTTTTATTTATGTAACTTTGATTTCCAAGTGTTTCCATAACACCTTCTACTTCAATTTTGTCAAAAAAAGGACAATTTCTATTCCATGTTACAGATAAGAATCCCTGATCAGGTCTAATGAGATGAAAATATTTTGGTGTAGATGAATGGGGTGTTGATGTAGCTGTGGATGTAGGCGAAGGTAGAATCCGCATCTAGACCCCCACCTCCACCCACTCATACCCATCATTTTCATTGGAATCCTCACGACACACCTGGAGACCTTCCCTTGTTAGACAATGACTTCTATTTATCTCGAAATAATTTTAAAAAAAAGTAAACATGTCTTCAAAACATTCAACATATATATCCAAAGTTGATTTGATATTACTCTAAATATTACAATAGTCTTTTGCATTCAATTATATATGATGATGATTTTATTATTTTTTTCATTATAAACAGCATATAAAATTTATTTGACAACATATTTATTCTCACAAAAAAGAAACATGTAAAAATAAATCAATCATGTGCATAATCATCTAATGTTTTCAATGCACCCTCAATAATTGAGTCATATAAGAAATCTTCACGATAGAATGCGTGATACTAAAAAAAGAAAATAAAAAAAAATTATTCGATAAAAATTGTAATTTACATTCATATTTTTATAAGCTTGTAATTCAGTTGACGGAGTTGCTGCTTCATATTCAGTTATTGAACAAATGATTATATTAGGTGCATCAAATGGAACAGTTGCAGGATATCCATTGAAAAATAAACCAGTTGTCATTACTGTTCCACCAAATGGAACAGCATTTTCTATATTAAAAAAAATACAATATTTCTTTCTCTGCAAAGTAATGAATGATCCAAAAGTAATTTGACAAAATGTTTGTTCATTTTTCAAATTCTTTAAGGAGCGCCAGCAAACATTTAAAAACATTCTATTAGAATCAAAAATTTTGTATTGTGTGTGAATATAGGTTCAACATTTTCATAGCACTTGGAGCTTAGGAGTTATGAGCCTATATTCCAGAATGATCGTACTAGAACTCTTGATTCTCATGTCACTTTGTAGAGAACAACGTCACCTTTTATTCTATGCAAAAAGAAACGTCGATTCACAAGTATTCGATCAGAAGTTCTACAGCAATTTTGAATCCATACTTGGCACCTATACCATATTTTGATTCTGACTCAATGTTTTCAAAAATTTGCAGGCGCTGCTTTAAGAGGCTAAAAATTAAATAAAGATTTTGTCAAATTACTGTTCGTTCACTCATTAATAAAACTAACTGCAAACATGTCCACCGAATCGTTTAACAAGTGCTTCAATAGCTAATGGTGTATCAACCATTTGACCAATAAATGCGAATTTATAACCAGTAAATATTCTTCAAAAAAAAATCAGATATAGATTTTCTTCTAGAAGTAATCGTTTTCTCCAAAAGAAAATAGATTTTTCCCGGACTGACCTCGGTCCCTTGACTAACTATAAAACAAGTCAAGCGACCGAGATCAGCCTGGGAATAATTCTATTCATGTAGTAGATAGATATTTACTTTTTATCTTTCGTTGCAACTGCTTTTTTGTACAATTTTCCGATTTTAGCAAGTTTTTTCTTTATTGCTTCTTTCGTAGCACCAGTAACCTATATTTAAATACATCAAATATAATTGGAAAAATAATTTTTTCAAATATACTGCATATTTAAACTCTCCAGCATCTAATTTATAATGAACAATATATTGAGGAAGAATATAATCGCTACGAAAAATAATAAGCTCCTGTTTACTAGGTGAACAATGTGAATCATAACCCTAAACGAAAATAGTAAACACATGGAACTGGAAACGTATTATGACTTTTCACATCTTTAAGAGCAGAGCCCATTATCAGTTGTGTACAATGATATACCTAAAAAACCGACAGAAAAACATTCCTTTATATTTTTTCCATTGTCTATTCTTTACTTTTCCTTGTAGCACTTGACATAATAACAATTTTGTAGCACCTTTTATGTAAGCCATCGAAAAGCCGGGATATTCCTATATGATACGAAATACATTAAAGAATATTATAAAAGTGAGCTGTATTTGCATGATGAGACAGATTTGTAGTCAATTATTTACCGTCTTATACGACTGATGAAAATTTTGTAAAAAGACTGGCTCAATGAAAATTTTAATTTTCTACAAAAATCTGCTATTTTAGAATTTAACGAGAGTGATAGGCTTGAAGAAAAACCTGTATTTATATATTGATCTTTGACATTATTCAAGTTTTTTGACTGTAGACAAATAAAAGTTCAACAAATCCTCAGTTGTCATACATACCAAAGGCTAAAAATATCGTGTTTTCGCAAAAACAACTGGTTTAATTACGAATTATGAGCAAAATGAAGATACTACGAAAGACTGGTGAGATTACAGACTCTTTGAATAGATAAAGCACAACACTTGTTATGTTGTCATATACCAATGTTGAATTTTGAATTCCACATCTGTGTGTATTTTGAATTCTCTTCTAAGGATAATTACACTCTGCAAATTTGAAAATAGCAAGTTTTGTAGAAAATTAAATTCTCAATCGAATTACCCTTGTTCTGAAATACTACTAATTACATAAGACAAAAGAAGTTTGATCACAAAAGTCTCAGATTATTTCTGCATGATCCATTATTAATAGTTTGAACTTTTTTCATATGGAAACTTACACTAAAATATGCTCCTCGTCCATAAAAACCACTATCAGTTGCATGCGCAAATCCTTCTTCACCTAGAAATCAGAATTAATAACGATAAACTATTTTCTGTATTTGGAGTTTACTTACCAGGTACTTTAAAACCATTTTCACATATTGGCTGAATGTTAGCAATAGCTGTACCATGAAAAGCTAATACAGGATAAGAATATTCTTCACCACGTTTTTTCTTTAGTTCTTCTCGTGCTGCACTAAAATAATAAGAGTTGGCAAAAATTAACAATATTTTCTAAAATCTGCACTTGAATTTGTTGATTAAAATTGGATTACAAACATATTCAACTTTCTTTACTTTTGCTCTAGAAAATAAAAAATTGGAAACTGAATATATTTTTTTATTATTTAAGTTATTACGTTCCATATCCACTTAGTAAACGATAAAATTGAGATTCAGCTAAACGAAAATGTAATTCAGCAGCTGAACCTATATTTCGAATAAAACTCGTTAATTAAATTAAAATTTTTTATTGATTTACCTTGTTTATAATTTCGTTCCGGAAAAAGTTCGAAATATTTAACTTTAGTACCTTTGAGAATTTCCGTTTCACCTTCCATTAATAATATACCTTCACTAATCTTAACAAACAATATTTTTATTTGAAATGGAAATAAAAAACAGAATTAATGTACTTGTTTTTGTAGCTGTTCAATTTCTTTTTTTCTTTCTTCAGTTTCTTCACGAGTTTTTTTTAATTTTTCTTGTAATTTTTCTTTCAATGCAAATGCCTTAAATTGATTTTCTCAATAGTGAAAACAATCCATATATTATTTCTATTTACTTGTTCAATCATTAGACGTTTTTCATCATCAGTCATTTTCGAAAAAGTTTTCTCCAATTTGACATCGTATACATTTTCCTATATAAAAAATTCCATTCAAATAATTCGTTATTCATAATTAAATTACATCATCTGTATCATATTCTTCTGTTTTATCTCCATCATCATCGTCATCTTCTTCATTTTCTTTTTTTCGTTTTTTATTATCATTTATTGTTTCATTCTTTTTATTGGATTGATTAGTTTCATCTTCATCACTACTATCAACGTCAGGATTGAGTAGATCGAATGGATGACTGTATTCCGCAAAGTGTAATAAATTTTTTCGATAGCATGTAGCACCAAATGGACATACTGGTAATGTTATATTAGTATCTAAATTAAATTGGTTACATTTTAAATGAAAGATATTGACTATTAACAAACCAGTTTTAACTGCTTTTGGAGTAACTGAAGTAGATACACAATCAGAATGTGAATACTCCTGGAAATGAGCTGGATTTTTACGATAACATTTACTACCTAGAAATATGAAAAACAGATAACAACAGAGAGGAACAAACAAAATAAAATACCATATGGGCATTGTGGCAAATCTTCTAATTTTGTTTTTTTGGCCGCATGTGTGGACATAGTGTAAATTGTAAATGTTTGAAACAAAATCTTGAGAAAGACAAATGATATTTAGCAATTATTATTGAATATTAGAGGAGTAGTTATCAAATGTCTAATTAATTTCATTAAATACAAAAACATCAAGGAAAGTATTCAGCCTGATTCGAAACTTTCTATATCATCTTTTTTCGCTATACGTTGATCTCAGCAAAAAACAAAAGTTTGTGTTTATGGCACTTTATTCGCGAGATAGAATCCACATGATAACGAGAAAAATTCAGGTTTTTTTCAAAACTTTTATTCATATATTATTCTAATAATACTATTTTGATCTTAAGTAAACCATGAAATCAAAATAACATTATGTAATTAGTATCACTTCGCATTTGAATAACCTATCACTAGGCCGCCTTTGAACAGTGCCTGGTTTTACCCAGCCAGACCTACGTATGATTTACACCAACCTAGGCTTGAAATGCATTGAATATAAAACATACTCTTTGCAAGTGTTCGAATAACCAGCACCACCAGGGTATTGGCTTTCGTAGTCTAGAAGCCCGATCATTGAGCCATACCGAGTATAAATGAGGCATGGGGCTGGGTCCTATTAACCCTACTCAGTGGATGCTTATTCGCTACCGACCCCAACGTCATACCGAGCCCCCCCCCCCCTCGGTTGACCCTATCACGATACCCGTCCTCTAATATTGCTTGCCCTCTGGTAAACAGAAGACCATCCCTCGCCCCGTTTTAAGTCTTAGCCGACCGTATAATTGGAGTGTTTGAAAGAGATTCATTACATGAATGCTCGTTTGTCAGATGGTACCCCGCATCAATTGATCAGCCAGGGTGGCCGAAGCAACCAACTTGGGGAACGAGACGCGCTCACGACCCGGGCTCGAACCGGGATCCCTGGATTCGCAGTGCAGTATCTTTCCAGTTAGACGACCGTGGCGTAATTAGTATCACTGGTTAGTTTCTAAATAGATGCACTTCTCTTTCCCAAACTAATTCAACACAGATACCAGTCAAATGGATATATATAGACTGATCCTGAAAGTCTTCAATGTTATCAATAAAGAGAGATATTCAACTTTCGTTTTTATCGAGTGCTATATACTGTTTGAAATTATTAAGTTTTCGTTGTTTCTTCATGGATTATTAAGATATATATAATAATTTGAAAGATAAAACATCATTTTTTCTCATCGTGATGTTAACTATCTTGGTACGACGAAGAGTCAAAAGTACAACTGGTTTTAAGGTTTTGTCAGTCTCACTGACATCTAATTAGAGCCAAACAATAATATCCAAAACTAGGAATAAATTGGGTTATTTTTCTCATAAGTGATCTTTTATCTTTGTTTAAAATTATTTCGAACATTAATATGTTACCAAAATCGCAATTATTTTCTATTAAAGAAAATAAAAATTGCAATAACTGCGACTGAAAACAAAAAAGATTTAACACCGAGCAAGAAAATACAATATCTTATGTATAAATTTTTTTTAATTTTAAACTCAAAATTAAACTAACATATCTAATCAAAGCGTATCTGAAGATATGACATATTGTCAGTCACAACTAAAAATAAGAAAGAAATCATTGAAAAGGGAATCAACAATATATGAGAAAAAGTAACCCATAAAATCAGCAAAAAGGAAGAAAATTTGAAAATCATCGAGGTAAACAAACTGAATTTCTTAAAGCTTCAGATCGAAGAGTGACTTCTTCAGCTTTGAACAACCTTGATTTCTAATCTTCTTTGGTTCTCATTCTGATGTTTTCAACTATCATATAACCTAACCTTAATTTTCCAAATAAAAATACCAAAATCTTCTTGATTGAAAAAAATCGTACTTGTTTAGTTTAGACACCGGACAGAACAGAAAGAAAATATATACGTTGGAAAAAAGACCAACGAAAAGAACAGAACGAAAGAAAAAGAAAAAAATATAAATGCCTTCTATAGATGACAGTGGCATGCAATAAAAGGAAAACATAATTGATAGCCTGTGTTTGAAACATGCCACTGTCGTCTATAGAAGACATCTATATTTTTTTCTTTTTCTTTCGTTCTGTTCTTTTCGTTGGTCTTTTTTTCCAACATATATATTTTCTTTCTGCTCTGTCAGGTGTCTAAACTAAAAAAGTACCAAAAAAACAAAATTCGTCTGCATCTTAAATATAGGCTAATAAAAGGTTCTTGCATAACTTCTTTCAAAATTTGAGTAAATACTTTGAATCATTCTTTTGTCTTTTTCTCATTGGTGAAGATGTGTGTCCAATGAAAATTTCTTATTAGCCTTCATCATTCAATTGGTTTCTGACAAGACAATCTTCAACATTTGACATATTTATTTATTTGCTCATTTTTATGTCTATGAACGAAAAAGTCATTCATAGTTTCGAGGGTGTTTGCCCATTAACTTATTATGGAATATATGGTATTAAAAAAAGGTAAAATAAAAAAAAAACAGAACTTCAAACAAATACTTTATCACTTTGTCTATTTTAATTAAGTTTCAATATGCCAAATTTTCCATGTTCGGACACATCCGAACAATTATCTCTTAAAAAGCATCTAATGTATAAACACAATTTATCGAATACAGCTGGTATAAAAAACCCAAACGTTTTTTTTGTCTTTATTTTTAATAATAAAATTCTTTAATTTTATTTAGCAAATAAAATTGTTCTTGATCGTATGAATAATCATATAGATGAAAAACAAACAAATGATAAAAATGATTTAATATTTAATAATACTCAAGAATTATTTTCACATTCAGTTCATTGGCATAAAGGTCGATGTCCATTTTCATATGGTTTTAATAATGTTTTTAATTTAACATTATCAAATCATCATATTAAAAATTATAATTGTCGACATATAAAACAATGTTTACTTTTATCACATTTACGTGTATCACATAATTTAAATATAAAATCAGCTAAAAAAATCGTTAAAACAATGATGTCATCATCTATTGAAAGTAAACAAAAATCAACCATTGAAAATGATATTAGAGAAATTATTTTATTTCAAAAAGATGACGCTGTTTTAAATACAAATCCGTATGTATTAAAGAAAGAAAAAAAACAACTGAAAATATTTTTCATCCTAGAAATATTTATAATGATGATCGAAGATTTCGACATTATTGTCCATTAACAAATGTAACATCAATAATAAATGAAGATATTCAAGATCAAACATTACTTAATGTGCCTTGTAATAAAACCAATGAAAAATTTATTCTTTTTGCTCATCTTCAGTAGGTTATCATCTTTTGCTACATTAATGCTATTCTTAAATTTGCCTCAAGACAAGATTTATTATTCATGACACAAAAAGATTATGAATATTGATGAAAGAATGAGAAGTTGTTTTTGCTTATGTGAACCGATACAACTTCTTATAAATTTACAGTAAAGCCGATCGAGATAATTATTGTTGTATAACATTAGAAAAGATTTCCGATATAAAGAGTCTTTATGTTAATGACATTACTAAAAGTAGACGACATAGCTTTCGCTTAAATAGGTTGAAAAAAAATTATATCATAATAGTTTCAAAAAGTTTTTTTTTATTATTCTTCTCTGATGTGTATTTATTCGATAAAAAACGTATCGAATGTAATCGGGAGCTTCTCACTCTTGTGATAGACTTGAATATACAATTAATATAGTATTATTCCATATCTGTCCAACAAACTTTTTAATGTATTATTGGAGTTTTGAACGATATTTCTTTAGATGGGAATTGCAATATACCGACACACTGCTGAGCATTACAAAGTTTACCAATTGTTCATAGAAAAAAGGCTTTCGATAAAGATTAATACGGCAAACTTAGACCCCGGTTTGAAATTTTGACCTGTGAAAACTTGAACTGAATTGGTTGTTTTCCAGAAGTACATATTCATCTTTCTTTTCTCACAGCTACATGCCTAGATTCAAAACACGACCTCATCCAAGAGTATCAACTAAAAGGCTTCTATACATACAAAAACAGGTTTCGAAAAAAAAAAATAATTCGTTGATATATACTGTATACTCGAGCTTCATGAAAGAGAGATTAGAATCCAGCTGAGAATGATCTTTATTTCAACTAGTTAGTGTAAAATATACAATAAATAAACTTGAAATTCGATATAATTTTTTTCAAAATGATATTTGTTTACAAACCATTGAGTAAGAAAAAATTAGTGATACCTATCGGCATGGTTTCATAAGCAACAGAAGTTTGTGTCATTCAACAAAACATTTCAATATCCTTAACTAATATCTTTTTATAGACACTATCATCAAATGAGTGGTGAACTTGCACTTCGTCTAATTCGTTCTATTCGAACTAGTACAGAAACAACAGTAATAAACGATTTTATTATCACTAATAATAATAAACAATCTACAACAACAAATACAACAGTAGCCGATGAAATTGATATCGTACCATATAAATGTTTATGTCCTTATTCAACGACATTGAATAGTGGAAATTCAAATTTATTAAAAAAATTTCTAAGATTTGTTAAAAATATTCCCTGTGATCGTCCATGTCCAGTAAATCTGTATCGACATTTACGAAATTATCATAAAGTTGATTTACAATATGCAAAAGATATAACTCGAACTATAATGCTTAGTAAAACAATTAAATCTGAGATTTCAACAGAAGATAATCGAATTGATCAACAAAACTCAACGTCGATTAGAAAACGAACAAAACTACCTGTACGATAAAATTTAATTCGATTAAGTTCAATGATTTTATTTTTGGTGTTTTATTTTTAGAAATCAACAAGTAATTATGGAACAACAATTTCATTAAGTAGAATTTGTTATTTTAAAAAGAATAATCATACATTAAATTTTACTTTTGTTTTAGTACACATGAATTTAAATAGTGTGAATTCAGAAATGAAAAGTATGAAATTTAGAATCAAAGTTTTTCTTTTTATATAAAATTGTTTACTTAATCTAGATGAATCAATTGATTTCTTAATTGACAATGAAAACCCTGAAGATTGGGATTCATCAATGATAAATGATGAAGAATCACTTTTTCTATCATTTGATGAAGATAGATTAAATAATGATGATATTGAAAAAGACTTTTAAATACATAATTTTATTCTTTTCTTTTTCGTTTTCTAAACTTTGTGAACAGTCTCTATGAGATAATTGTTCAATAAGTTTATGTATATACTATAGTTCTTCTTGTCAGTTATGTGCCTGAAAATGGTTCATAATGAGTTAAATTGGTTTTTGTATGCATGCTTAATTCTAGAAACTAAATGCTTTATATTTATTTTTTCTTTACAAAGATTTATTTAGATTCAATCCCTTTTTTTTAAATGCTATTTTTTCATTCAACGAGAAAAATTATAGACAATAAAGAAGTAACATAAAAGATCTAGTCAATATAAGTCATGATCAGCTCTATTCAATGAGAAATTTCAAATTTTTACTTGTACAATGAAATACTTCTCAGGTTCACCCGTGTTTGAATAGCTATTGGCACACTCCGTATGGAATTAAAATATGAATACAATATTCCTGCTCCTGCTAATCACAGGGAGGTTATTTTATCTTTTTTTCGAACACATAGCTCTACCATCATTTTACTTTATCCTCCCGAAAACTAATAAGGAAAAGGTTCATATATTATGACCAGATGCTATTGATATGCAATCTGTAATCTTAGTATTGCTATGTCTACCACGATCTGTAGGAACGAAGTATGCCAATTTCTACATTATATTTTTCAATATTCCTTTTAGATAATGCTTTAGCAAACAATATTTAAGTGATATCTTATCTATTTCTTCCCAGGGAATCTATCAAAAAGGTTATTTTTCTATTGTAGTTCTATAGAATACATAGAAAATCTCAAATATGGAAACAATCAAGATTTTTGATGACCAGTACAAGTATCGATATGAATAAGTCAGATCAGCCAGTTCAAAAATCCATATTGATTCAATATCTAAACCGTGCCATTTGATGTGACCAACATTCAAAAGCAAATTCATTACACAATTTTTTCTAATAAAAACAGAAAAATAAAAAAGTGAGAGATCGGCAACTGATACCGATTCTATCTTAGAAAGATTTGATTGAAAAATTATAATAGCTTCATAGAGAGATATCTTACAAAAGATAATCATTTGGTTCTCTACTTAAAACAAGGTACTCCACGAGATGGAATATATTTCACACGAATCAAAAATTGTTATCCAGTCCTTCGATACGGTGAGAGATGTGACTCACATGAAATGGCTAATATACCTTCTTATATCAATTGCATACTGTTTGCTATTCTTTCGAAGATAATAATGAAAAACAAGCTAATAAATATGATTATAGTTGTTGAACTCTAATTGTTGATTTTTGATAATTTTTTTCTTTTTCAATCATCGTTTCTCAACAACAGTCAAATCAAGTGCAATGCAAAAAGTTGTTGATGACAACGATTTATATTATGTACCGTTAGAAACAAATTAATTAATTTTATTAAGTTATTTTCCATCCTTCTTTTTTTCTTTATGTGATGGTACTCGTTTCGGAATTCCGTTGACAAATAAAAGGTCGAATATTTTCTATCTAAAATAAATGTAGAAACCTCGGATTTAAATCCAAGAGTTATGTGTACTTCAAAAAGTGAATTAGACAGATGAGTCATCCTAGAATGTGTGGACATCAAAATTATCCTNCAAGCCATATCTCGACAATGGAGAAATATTTTTTCAAATGGCTTGCGTCAAACTTCTTAGAATTCTTTCCTCTACGATATGTCCTAAACTGAGGAAAACCTGACGACCTCGATTAAATAAGTGTCGTCATGGCTTGCGTGAACTGAATCTTATATTCCCGTACTCTCCTTCAGGAGTTTTGGAGCAAACATTTTTTTTCGGTTTTTGAAAGAACTATTTGTGTCAATTTATTAGGGATATTGTGCTGATTATTTCAGAATAAAAATTTTTAATCGAAAGATTTACTATTGATACAATATGGTCAATATACTGACCCTATTATCTAAAAATATACGTCATTGTAGTAGATAATCTTACAAGCTGATGATGAGCCCCTGCTGATACGAAGAATTTAATTCGTGCAACAAATAGAGCTCAATAGTATGTAATTTCTGAGAAAGCTTCACGTTGTTACTCACTTGTTCTGCAGCATAACATAAAGCAGACAGAAATGTGAAAAAGTCACAAAATAGTCTAGACCTATAGCACATGATCATTTTTAAGCATGAAGAAAGCAACGAAGAACACAGTTGTTTATAAAAGTTAAAGAGCATCGTCAAGAAGTTGCCAAACCCGGCAGGGTCCTTTATTTAAATACTCGTCAAACATTAAATGAATTAACAAATATAAAATTATTTGATTAATTAATACAAAATGATACACAAAATACATTTACATCATCATTCAATATCAGCGTCATCAACAATAAAAACTGTTGAAAAGCTTAATAAAGAAAATATTTGCACACTATTGCCTTTCAAAAATCCACTTTTCAATAATAAAATCCTTGAAAAAGAAGAACATATACAGAGTGGCGATTCAGATGATAATGATGGAACATATTTAAAACCAAACTCAAATCGAATCATCTAAAGTACTTTAGTTTGTTGATAGTCTTTTTATTGAATCTCTTAAAAGTTCATCTCCTTCGTCTTCTCAACAATCTCTTGTTCTTTTAACTAATCGACAATCTTTACAACAACAACTATTATTTGTTTTAAATAATGGTGATATGGCAAGAAGTACACAAAATTTAACATCATCAAATATAAATACATCAATCACAACAAAAAGCTCCCTAACGTCAACAACTTATTATTGTTTAAAAACGAATGATGAATTTCGTGGAACAACTAAAAGGCAATAGATTTTGCCATCTCAACAACAACTACTACCAAAAATGAGTGTTAAAGTATGATGTGAGTTTTTCTAAATTCAAAATAAAAACGTTGCAAAAGTTTTCCGATACCTTTGGTTCTAAAAACTTTATTGTTTTTTGACAACGATGTTCAATGCAATTTTTTTCCAATAGATACAGCGTTCTTTCCAACGAAAAGAAACTGCAGAATGATATATAAAAAAACAAAATAAATGAACAACTTTTACCCAACCCGTTTGAAGCATTAATTGACGGTCATCGAATCTAGTTTCACTGTTGCTACTTTTACCGCTTTTTCAGTTCATTTTAGTTTTGAATATTATCAAATAAATCATCTATGAGATCAAAATTTTCTATGGATTTCGTGAAAATTTCTGTAAATGTAATCTTCATTTGTTTAAAATTCATATCAACATGCAGGACAACTACAAAGACATCTTTTCTTTATCCTTCATAGGTTGATAAATATCTAAAAGATTTATCGTTTTTTATTTATTAAAACTTGTAAAATTAAAACTAATGAAATCATCAAAAAAAAAGATATTCACCGATAAATTCGTAGTGAATTTCCTAGATCAACAAGAGATGAAATTCAATTAAAATATTTATCCAAGTTTGATTATGTTTCGATTAGAGTTGATATTCGAGGGAGTGAAAATTCTCAAGATTTGCAATTTTATTTTGTTTCTCTTATATTTTATTCGGATTTTTTTCTGTCGTATGTAAACAAAGGGAATATTTCATGATGAATATTCAAAATTCTCGACTGGATTCAAAATCAAAAATGGTCGAATGGAAAAGTAATTAAGAAAGATTAATATTTAATTTTTATTTGTTCTTTATTAAAAAGTCGTTATTTATGGACAATCTTGGAGTGGTTTTAATGGATTACAAATTGTTTGTTTTCAACCAAAAGTTGAACAGTTTTATTTGATTTTAAAATAAATTACATAAAACGATATTTTTTTTGTTAAAGAATTTATCTGGAATTATTTCCGCCTAGTCAACAGATGGTTTCAATTCAAATAAAAGAATTTCCATTATATCAAGAAATTAATAAAGATTATCACTTATTTAATATTTGGAAAGAAAGATTAAATAATTTAATACATTTAGATTATCAGTGGATAGAACATCAGAATCAGTTTTTATAATTCAAATTTCAAAACAAACTGTAAATATTTCATGTATTTAGAGATAAATATTGGCCTCATAAAAGCATATCTGAAGATTATTTGAAGATTATATGTCCAGTTCTATTAATTGAAGAATTTTCAGATCTTTATAATTCGTCGATTTTTCGTTTAATTAATCAGTTGAAATGTCCGAAACGTGCTATTTTAGGTTCATGGGGACATCAATGACCATCTGTTTCATCATGTGCATGTTATAAAATCTTTCTTTTTTAGAGATGATACTTATCCTGGACCACAAATTGGATTTTTACAAGAACTAGTCCAATAGCTTGATGAATTTTAATTCATTTCCATCTTATTCGTATGAACATTTTCAAACAAATAATCATTTAATTGATCAAAATCAACAAATTCATACAAAACAATAAAAGATTATTTGTCTTTTCGATGTTTAATAACTGAATTTGTTTTAAATGATTTGAATCCTAAAAAACTTCATTCTTATCCGTAAATATTCAAAAAGGATATTTGAAGAGACATTAACTTTCCTTTAAATTTCAATCAATTTATTATTAAATGTGAAATATTCAAGTAAATTATTTCCCGCCGGTTAGATCTTCGAATGTAACAACACGAAAAGGTAGTGTGTGAGATATGGTTCTTCTCTTCGTCTACATCCGCACACCCAACTTGATCAGTTGATAGTTTTGTGTTGGTCATATAATAATATGCCGTTGAGATATTCAAAAAGACTATACTGATGCCTATTATTATTCAAAGTCTTGATTTAAATTTTCACTGAGTATTTTTTTCGAAAAAAAAATAAATATAACTTTTATTAAATTATTGAACTAAGAGAAAATTTCTCGTTATACTGTGACCTACTTCTTATTTTTGACACATTTGAATCGATCTTATTGAAGTTTTGAGATTTTTGAAAACAATCAAAATTTCATAAAAGTAAATCATTTGATTGTGAATCTATTCATAGAATCTATCGTTTTGATCAAGAATAAACGAAAATATTATTCGTTAACAGAGATAATATTTATTTGTCTATCGATTTATCGTTGCATATTGACGTCGTTTATCTATAGAATCTCTCCTCAAGAAACATGTTTATCAAGTGGAAATTTATTTGGATGGAGAGTTATTTACAGTCCTGTGATCATCCAACAGATCAACGAGAAGATGACGGAAGATCATTATGTGTTGAATCTCTTCCGTTAAATCATGATTATGGTATTTATTTTAGAAAGTATTTCAAATTGATATCATATATTTTCGGAATTATTTGGATTTCCAATTGTTAAACTTAATTTCAGTTCTAATAGTAAAAATGCTTTAATATGTGTTCGTTTTCAATTCTTATTTCACGTGGAATTCCTAATTTAACACTATGGTCTTCATCGGAACTACAACATTGACGTTTGTTATCATATATTTCAGAGAAAGAATAAACTTTAGGCTTTTTTAGAATTCATTTTAATGAAGTATCTGTATGTATTCTTACATTACCTTGTTTAAATGACCAATAGTAAGAGAGTTTTATTAGAATATATTCAAGAAAAATCATTTCTTTGTTGTAATTAATAAAGTTTGACAAGAGATGATCTTGATTTGCCTGAAATTTGTCAAGAAATTCCAATAAAACATTTACGAGATAACTCAATCACTCGTTTTAGAATGTTAGATGAAATCAATATATTAATAACATTAAAAGTAATTCAATTTTCTAATCTTTTTTTGATAATTTTCGTTTTTTCTTAAAGATTAATGAAGATAATGATTCTATTGCATGCCCCACTTGTTTAGTATGGGATGAAACATCAGAAAGTATTTATGAAATTAAAAAAAAATGATTCTCAATCAGAAAGAATAGAAATAAAAAGATATCTAAAATATTATTTTCAAGATCAATCATCAATTAAATATTCATAGTAAGAACCAATTAATTTTTAAGAATGATTGGAATTTAACATTTCCTGGAGTTTGCAACTAATTTATTGATTCAAATTACATATGATATCATTCTTATAATTACATCTTGACTAAACTATAATAGATGAAACGTACAAGAAAGTAAAACAAATAACATCTTTGGAAAATCTATTTATGAAAAACAAAAATATTAAATTGATATTTCTCTATATGAAATGTTCAAAATAGTCACCATGAATGCTTTAAATAACTATTTCATTGAGCTTCTTGGCTATGGCTTTTTGCAAAGCTCGTTTCATTTGAATAGATGCCAAACTTGTCTTTTGCATAGTTGAAAAATCAAAAGTTTCAAAGTGAAAGATTGGTTACAGGAGTATGCCGGAGAAGTCATAACTTTGATTTTTTTCTTCTTCTAACTAATTGGGTAATAGTAATATTTTTGGCCTGGAATGTTTGCATTATCATGATGCAGCTTGATATCATTTGTGCCGAATGGTGGTCTGTTTTTCCAATGAATTCTCAAGCAACGCTTTTAAACACTGATCACCATAACAGTTAACATCAATAGATACGTAGCGTGGAATCTGATGAAAACATAACGATCCAATTGTCATTGAGATAGGGTGTATGGTTGAATGAGAGCGTGAATAAAGAGAAAGTCAACAAACTAATACCCGCACTCAACTTTTCGACAAATTTTTGAAACCGATCAGAAAAATAAAGCATGACTAGCTCATGCAGTTTTCAAGGAACTAAGAAGTTTTTTTAGAAAAGAGCTCAAACAAACTTTCGAACTTGGCATTAATAATTATGGCAATATTTCTGAACATTTGATAGAACAAAATAAAAAAGAATCTTGATCTTGGTATTTATATTCAGCGTTATCAGAACTTTTGATCAATCCTAAGCCACAAATTCAGTTGAGCGAAGAAGCAGCAATGATCGACAATATGTCTTTAGTGTGGAAGAAAATAATTAATAACTAGCGTATTGATCGTAATAATAAAACAATACTGAGAAAACAGGAAATAAAAACATAAAAATATTCAAAAAGGCATCATGTTCTTCAATTTATTTTTTTTAAAGAAAATTTCTTGGAAAATTAACGCTTTCAACAAGATAATAGCTGAAAATTAGAGATTGACTGATTGACAGTCTGACTTTAAAAACAGTGCAAAAAAAAGGTTTATTCAATCGTGAAGCGTAACACTGGAAGTATAAAATAATAAAAACCGAATACATTGCAGAACTTCAACGATTCTTATTGAAAGCAGTTTCAAGTGTTCATATTGTTGTTCTCATAGAGTTTCTGAAAAAAAAACAACCTTTTCATGTTAGCTTTTCCCAAAAAAAAGTCAATGAATCAAATTATAAATCAGAATGCAGCATAGGATTCTTTGTCATCTCTATGATTTCAAGAATAACACCATTTAAAATTTTATTAAAATTATTTTCAAGTGAATAACTTTCAAGACAAGAAATTCTTTAGTAGTGACATTGCAATGATGTTGTGATATCGATAATATTTTTGTTCGAAACATCTGTAAAACAGTTAAAGAAAATTAAAATTGTTTAACTAACAAAACTTTTCGGTTGCGATGATTATGAACTAGATTAACACACAAGAATATTGCAAAGAAATTAAATATTTTCCAATGGTTTTTGGATGTCCTAATGACATACATAGATATTAATTTGCAAGTTTTGCCAAAAGACAGTATTTGCATCAATTTTTGAAAAAGTATAACAATATTTGAAATATCACTACTGTCTCTAACAAGATTTTTTTTACTGGTTAACAGAATAGTCACACTGCGAATTTCTATTTTTCTACGGGTAAAGACCGACTTATGTGAGGTGCGTTCGTTAAAGATGTGGTATGGGCGTGAATGTAGGGTAAAAGAAGACGCACACTCACACCCAACAAATCGAATGATGATATTTTGACCTGAAATTTCGCCCACATATAAGTATCAAAATTCACTCATATTTCACGAAAGATGCCAGAATTTTATGTTTTATTTTGAGCTAAAATTTTCAAGAGACTCTTGTCACAAGTAGATCTATGTGTGCACAAAATCTTAGGTGAAAATACCGTTATTCGATTGGTTGGTACATACTATGCCATAAGCTAAAAAGCTTTAGGATGCTTATCTTTTTGCAGATTTTTCATATCTCACTGGAGTCTATCCTATATACAGTTTCCGCACTCAGAAAAGATTTATCATTTGAAACGGTTCTCTCATCAGTACGACTAATCTTGTGTTCTTCTCTGTTTTTTTACATTGATCTCGTTTCAAATTCTCTGCTTTATTTGTCACTGTTGATGAACTTTTTCTTGTTTGTTTAAACTTATATAGATGTTCATTTCCAGAAGTTATCATAAATAAGAATTATTTGTTTGAATATGATCGGAAAATATAAATTTCTTCGGATTAACGATCATTTCTCAACATTTCTAAGAATTTTGAAAAAAAAAGTTGTTTAACCAAATTTTTTAGTTTTTATAAAGTAAAAAAGCACCTTCCATTTTTGTTCAAGAAGAAAATTTCTTGAAGCTCAAAACTACTTTAGATTAAAATTCTCACAAACAATTTTTTATTATTTCCTTTATTTAACAAAACGCCAGTGTTTTTTAGAATCTTTTCAATGAAGTTCTTTCAAAAATAAGGCAAGCATTTTTATTATTGAATATATTCAATGCAACATCTACTTTTGAAACGACCTGTTTCATAACAAAAGTTTTTTTATATCAAAATTTCATAACGATCTGACGACGATGGCATTTGTTATGTGTTGTAGTTACCACCATCTATATGACATAATAGAAGATAATTAGTATAATTAATTCATCTAATTATCACATTGAAGATTAGTAGACAATTAAATATTGACTATACACAGTCGCTAATATTGATATTAAACCATATTTGTAAGTCTAATTAGAGAAATGATCTCTATTTGGAACTATTTCAGTAAGTTTCTTCTGTTTTCACAGACTAAAACGAACAATGCGAATGAATCACATTTTATTCTATATCATTGTACATCCATTTTTCTTTCTTAAATTAATTTTTATTTGAATATATGAAGTATAATTAAGAATGATGATGATCTAAAGTGGTCTTAAAAATGTACGTTGCGCCTAGTGAATAACTGCAGCCAAGTGAGGAATTTTGATTGTTCGAGTACAAACATTGCTTTTTTTTATTGCGAATAAAATGATATTTAACATGTATGACTGTGAATGAAATCAATCGACCTGCACTTGATGGAAACACAGCATTGCATGCAGCTATTGTATATCTATTAATTAAATACAGAGCTTCAGTCTCGATTCGAAATGATTCAACGAAGCCCATTCCATACGAAGAGACAACTTCGCCTTATATAAAGTATCTTCTAACGAGTATAGATAATAAAGCATGGATCCAGTGAACTTTTGTGGTTCCATCGATACGTTAAACAAAGTAAATATTTGATACGGCATTAAAGAATACATTTCATAACATGGGCTGGTCATTTTTCTCAATTACTTGCTTAATCACTGATATATTGCAAAGGCATTGAAGTCAACCAAGCAAATTGAATGGTAAGTAATGTACTCAAGCACAATTTACTTCTTAAAAAATATGACAAGCAGTAAATCATATCAAGATTCAACATGAGTATTGGTCACTTTGTTTCAATATCAAAGAAACAATCAATTATAGTCAAAAACATCTCAACGGTGTCTTTTATGGATATCATACACATTTCAGCATTTGTTTTTTCTTTTTGTTAAAACAGTTACAAAAGTTTTCGATATAATACAGCATCATTTGACGGATTTGTTGTGAATCCCATATAACTGCAATGAATTTAAACTGAAGAGCTAAAGAGACCAGTCTTTTTAATATTACATTCATACATTATTTAGTTTTATCAGATCAACATTTATTGTCAATTTATATTAACTAGATCCTTTGCAATAAATACTCACTTTTTATTTAGAACTTTTATTCATCCCAAATGAAGAACACGTACTAGGTTTCATATAAAATGAACAAGACGCGACATATTATCGTTAAATTCATGAGAAGAAAATTGCAAACCATGGAACAACTTTCGTTTCTAATTGAACATAAAATTTCAAAGTCATTATTTAGATCAGATGAAAAGATTTGTCTTTGTAGAGTGAATCTGCACAGATTTAGAAATTTTCTAGACAAAGAAATTACTAAAAGCTTATTTTTGTCCATTATGTAACTCTTTTAGCTATTGGATCTTAGAGCCCTGCGGTTCCTAAAATTACCCGAAATCGCAGGGCTCTACTTGGAACACGTACATGATATCGAAAAAGTGTCACATTTGAATTAATTGGAAGCATAGAACTTAATGATTGAAATGGAGATAGTTTGAAATCTGATAATCGAAATTGTGGCTCAGAAATAGTCATTACTGTTGATGATGGTTGACGCATTGGAATAACGGGTGATATAAATGAAACTTGAGAATCAAGATTTGGTAATTCTTTTGTAATTTTGTCAAAATAATCTTTATTAATTAATACGTGATGAACTAGAAGTTTCTGTAAAAAAAGTAAAGTTTAACAAAATTTTCTTTTGATGGATTTTTCTTAGTAAATATATAATAAAGAGTTTTGTTAAAAAGCTTATCCGCGCAGCCCTGTTAGAGCTAAAAAGTGGACATTTTCGTATTCCGTTTTTCTCAATTTAATATTATTGTTGTTCTAACCATTGATTTAAATGACAAATAAGCCTGTTGTACATATTTTGTGTATCTACAGTAGATTTCAAGACACTTATATATATGTATATCACGATAAAATTAGAAACACATTAATGCCGATTTTTTCCCAAATTTATAACTTGACCATTTGACGACTATGGCAAATCAATACATGGCTATCCATCATGCT